ATCAAGGAATTTGAAAGAGTTTGAAGATGGAAGATGCGCAAGCTGCCTATTATTTAAATAATATTTAAGGTATCTTGACATATATTGTTTACAATATTGTAAATATATCCTATAAAAACAACGAGTGTCCACATACTTTCATACTTCTAAGTAAACGTATAAATAAACATGCGTATGAATTTAATTAGATAAGTTAAGCAGATCAATTAAACATATTCGAAGGAAATTCGCGCGACAGGGCGAAATAAATTGCGAATGGTTAACTGGATACGTGATAATCAGATTAGTTTCCATGTCCAAGATTAAATTAATTTCGAAGTCGACTAACCGGTAACTTCGAGCAGCTATGAGACTTGAAGGTGTCCCCGTAATCAAGCAAATTAATTTACAACGTCCCGTGGGAGAAAGCTGGGCGAGGAAATGAGTAAAAGGCAAGTTCTCGAGGAGGAAATCAAATAGCACGCACGTTGCCGTATTCTGCCACTTTGGTAAGTGGCTTTCAGTGTACCGTTCACACTCACAATAGCGATGCAACAGCGACGAAATCAAAAATTCTACGTCTACATTCTCCGAACAACGAACTCGCGTTTTCCAATTTCTGTGCGATGCGGACCAAAAAAAAAAAAAAAAAAAAAAACCAAGCACATTTCTCATTCTTTCGCGATTCGCTCGAGAGCGAGTGAAAAAGCCATGAACGTTGGAAGAAATAAAAATAATGGAAGCGGAGACAGTTTCAGAATCGAAACGAGAGGAAAGAAAAAAAGAGGAGAGAAAAAAGCACGAGTCGACGCGAGTGAGGGTGCTTTTACAACTTTTTTTATGATGCAATATGCCCGCGAAAACTAAACCTATTACCGCTGCCACCGTGCAGTGATTAAACGCGACTATAAAAAAAAAAAAAGAAAAAAAAAAAGAAAAGAAAGAAAAGGAAAGCATCCTTCAAACAAAGTTAAATAAGGTAGCGCGGTGATAATGGGGATTCGGAGTAATTGCGATCGAAAGAGCAGGTCACGAAATGGATCCGCTTAGGGGAAGAAAGTAAAACAGGGAGAGCAAACGTTTCAACGATCACCGATCTTATTATATTGTACCCACTACACGCGATGTAAAATCATCTTTGGAAAACAACTTTGTATAATTTTATGATTATTGCTACCTTCGATGATAAATTATTGCTACCTCTTCAATGAGTTCATGCTACTAACATTGTGATAAATGTTATTAGAAATAAAATTCGAAGACCATTGTTAAAATTTTTTCACCGCAATAAGGGATGCAAAAAATTAAATAAGGAACTGAACTTTCACATGATTATCAATAAGATAACAGTCGTCAGAGTTTTTTTTTCTGAAATTAAGAGCAATGAATTTAAATATTCTAGAAATTATAAATTACAAATTTAATATCAATTAAAATAACTTGAGATAAATATTATTTCCATCGACAAAAATCAATATTTGGTGTATTTGTACACGAGTTTCGAAGGCGGTTGCCACGAGAAAATATTCATTCGCAGCTAACTTCTAATATTCAAATGAGTGGACGCGTTATGGGAACAGAACTATGAACGAGCAAGTACTTGTCTCCGCGTCTAAATAGACGCTTTCATTCTTTGCTGTTCATTTCGATGTTATGCAAATGGAATGCGCGCCGAGGAAGTCATTCTTTATTCCCTCGAAAGTCTTGAAACGCTTGAATAAATTAAAATAAAAATTAAGAATGAAAGGAAGAAAGAAAGAAAGAACAAGCGACCGTATGTTTTCCTCAACAGGATATTTTTCATTTTAATGTTACACATTACGTAATCAACGAAAGGAAAGAAGTAGGTTGGAAAATGAACGAAGTAATATAGTTAATTTTGCGACGAAATATTTCGTGGCATATTTTTACAAAATATGTTTACGTATTTATTTTTACTATCCAATAAAATATTTGAAAGAATATTTGAAATTCAACAAAAGTGTTAATTACTTATTAGACATACTTAAAAAAATAATAATAATAAAACGTGTGTTGGCTAATTTTGTGACTTCACTTCGTCCACTCTTGCTCAAAAAGTATTAAGACCTTTTATTTTTAACAATCTTCTTTTTTGTAACATAGATAATAAAATTTCTGACTTTTGTGTGTACTATATAAAACACTTGTTAATATACTGAAGACACTTTATGGATTCTTTGTTATACAATCTATATTGTGACAAATAACTTGTCATAAGGTTTCTAAGTGTATTAATTAGTAATGTATATGTGTATTAATTAGTAACTTTAGAATGTAGAAATTAGCAAAGTAGAACAGTTAATTTCATAATAAAGAATTCTCTGATAAACGTTAAATATCAGTTAAGCTAAAAATTAGATTTATCAAATACGTCACTGGTAAATCGAACGAATACCCCGATAATATTATTCAATTAAAAAATAAAGGAGAATCGAATAAAAATAAAATATATTAATATTGTTATGATAACATTAATATAATATTATTCAATTAAAAAATAAAGGAGAATCGAATAAAAATAAAATACAGCCCAAGAATTCGAACACACTTTATAAAGCATAATATTCGATATGTCAAAGAAAAGTTTTATAATAAACGTTAAATATTTATCAAAGATATTATTGGTGAATCACCTAAAATTAGAAAGTAAAACAAAACTAAGATCCGAGAATCTAGATAAAACTAAAAGTCGAACATGATCCAAAATTTTAAATATACTTTACAAAA